AAAAAAAAAAAAAAAAAAAAAAGTGGAAAAAGGATTCCAATAGCCATTTCTCTAAAGAAGGCATACAAAAAAAGAAAAGAAAAATGTTTAAGATCAATAAATCAGAAAATGTCGATCAAACCACACTGGCATGCTACTTCACATCCATTAGGATGGCTACTGTCAAAAAACCAGAACCTCAGACCGGTGATATAGCTCAACAGATTAAGTGCTTGCTTAGGTAAGTGCAGGGGCCAGGGTTCAATCCCTGGTACCACATGCCACACCGGCCCCCGCTCCTGGGAGCGCTGAGCTACCAATTGAGTCTGGGCGTGGTGGCACATGCCTGTAATCCCAGCACTAGGGAGGCACGAATCAAGAGGATCACTACAAATCTGAGCTGCATAGTGAGACCCTGCACACACACACACACACACACACACACACACATGCACACGTGCACACACACACACACACACAAACACACACTCACAAAACTAACAAGCATTAGCGTTCATGTGGAGAAATTGCAACTGTGTTGTTAGTGGGCTTATACAAAGCCATAAACACTAGGCAAAGCAAACAGTATGCAAATTTCTAAAACATTGCAAAGAGAAGTATCGCATGACCCAGTTGTTCCAAATCTGGGTGTATAACTAAAGAATTAAGAAATGCAAAGTGCCCCTAAATGGGAGGTGCCAGAATGCTGCCTTCTTTCTCTTAGTGAGGAGATAAAGCACTGCCTGTGAACCAAGAAGTGGGCTCTTTCCAGACAGTGAGTCTGCCTACACCCCCATCAGGACCTCACATCTCCAGAACTGTGAAAAATATATTTCTGCTTTTGTTTTTGGGTTTTTTGTTTGTTGGTTGGTTGGTTGGTTGGTTGGTTACTTTTTTGGAGACAGAGTCTCGCTAAGCAGTTTGGGTTGGCCTTGTGCTCACTTTTGTAGCCCCCGGGCTGATCTTGAACTTGCAAAAATCCTTCTGACCTCCTGAGTGCTGGGATTACAGGGGTGTACCACCACGCCTAGTTCTAGGACCTGCATGGCTTGCAAATTGGGGGCCGGCAGGGTGTGCCTAGATGGACCCGGGACCAGCACAGCATGCCAGGCCGGGGATTGAACTCAGGACCTTGTGCTTGCCTGGTAGGTGTTCATGCCTCTGAGCTATCTCCTCAGCCCCAGACACAGGGTTTTGAAGTGATATTTACATTCACATGGGTGGCAGCTTAATTCACAATTGTCGGGGACTAGGGAGATGGCTCAGTGGAATAAGTGCTTCTCTGGCAAGCACAAGGGCCTGAGTTCAATCCCCAGTTCCACCAAAAAAAAAAAAAAGCACAATTGTCAGGAGGTAGAAATGACACAAGTGTCCACAGACAGATGAAAGCATTTGTGACATGTGGTCTATGCATACAATGGAATACTACTCAGCCTTAAAAAGGAAGAAACCCTAGCCAGGTGTGGTGGTGCACGTTTGTGAGGCAGGAGGACTATTGCAAGTTCCAGAGCAGCCTGGGCTACAAAGTGAACTGAAGGCCAGCCTAACATGCATAGCAAGATCCTGTCTCAAAAAGACAAAGAAGAAAAAAGAAAAAAAGGGAGCTGGGGAGATAGCTCAGCAGCTTAAGTGTCTGCCTGGCAAGCACAAGGTCCTGAGTTCAATCCCCAGTACCAAAAAAAAGGAAGAAATTCTGACACATGCCATAACATTAATGACCCTGAGAACACGATATGAAATGAACCAAATTAGTCACACAAAGACAAATACCATAGGATTTCACTTGTAGAAGGTGACTGGAGTAGTCAAATTTCAAATTCATAGAGAAGAAGAGATTGGTGGACACCAGAGGCTGGGAGAAAGAGGGAAAGGCAT